CAAGGTTCCTTTTGCAATAATCACACATTGCTGTTTCCTTGATTTGGGTGCACACAGCCTTTCTCTCCATTTTGTTTGGGACATTCCATCAAGTTCACAGGATGTGACACAACCCAGAGACATGGCCTCTCACAGGCTGCTGCTGATCGCGCAGACCTGGCCTTTCCTCCCCGCTGCAGCGCCCTCTCCTTCTCACTTCTCACACTCAGTTCCACACCTGGGTTGGGCTGGGTTTTGGTTTTTGTTTTTTTTTTTTAGTTCATTCTGTAATGCTGTACAAAATGTGGGAGATGAGGGCCTATTTGTAAGAAAGAAAACTACTGTCAAGAATGTAGACTATTACTTATGAAGGTTAAGACACAGAAATTTGGGGAAGAGCAGTTTCATGAATGTACCACAATATCTTGACAGTGGGGTTTTTGGACGTCACTGCCCACCATTTGTGTCACGCCTTCCCAGAAGGGCAGATGAGGAGGAAGAGGAGGGGAGCATAGGATTAGCTTTCTGCCGCTCAGCCCAAACTCTGCTTATAAATCACTGTCTCACCATCAGCACCTCCTGCCCCTCCTTCTTTCCCTGCCTTTCTGGGGCCAGAGGAGCCAAATCTTCTTCTACTCAGAGCCTAGCTAAGCCTCTCCCTTCTACATAAGGTCCATTTTCAAGTCATTTCTGAGGCCCTGGTCACCCTGAACTCTCTCCCAGCTTCAGTCTTCACACTCATTGTGCATTCAAACAGTTACTACCCCATTCCACAAATTACCTTTATGAGTTCTCCTTCCCCTGAAAACTCTGGGAGGGTTGGGCGATGTCTTACACTTCTTAATGACTTCACATACTTTGCATAGAGAAGTCACTCAAGTATTTTTAGCTGAATGATAGAATTATTACTTATAGCATTAAAAATCTAAGACAATGAGGTCTTTTTCCTAAAAATGTTCTACTGGAATTCTTAGTCTACCAGGTCAACCCCTGAACAAGAAATAGAGCTCTCTTGTCTTAGGTAACACTGCTTCTGTTTGCCGTCAGACTATCTAGATGCTCTTTATAGATGACCATACTGGTAGGAGGAGGAACATTTAGGTCAATTTTTCTTCTGCCTTCCTTATGACCCGCTCCTACCTAACATTATCTGCACTGCCAGTATATTCTTGGTACTTCCCAAATCAGTTCCAGAATGGTATATGGCAGGTTATGGGGCCTTGGACACATACACTCCAGTTTGAATCTTGGTCCAATCACCTACTAGCTATAAAATCTTGAAGAAAATCACTTAAATGTCTCTGAAGCTCAGCTTCTTCATCTTTACAATGGGGATAACTTGGAGGGTTGTGGTGAAACTCAATGAGATAATACTAATGCAAAAATGCCTGAAACATAGTAGTTGCTCAATAAATGGTCAGTTATTATTATTAAAAGGAAGTCAAAATCAGGAAGAGAGAAAAGAAGAGAAGGGTATGGACATATTTCCTAATTTTTCTTTTTCTTCCACTTCTTCTTGGGTCTGGAAATGCCCCCATTAGCGGCTCCCAAGAAAGGACGAGAGTCCTTTTTCTGAATTCTGTGAGCCAAAAGATTCATTTCCGTCAGCCTGGGGTGGTTCAGATCCGGACCTGCCCTCAGGCAGCAGGATGAGCAACTCCAGGCACCGCAGGGGCAGTAATTTTTACTTTAATCCAAGAACAGTTCCTGAGACATATTAGACCCTCAGTGAATATCTGTTTATTGAATGAACACCTTCCAGCTCAAAGCTGCATGGGATGCAGAGTTGCTTCCTGGACGTCCTCATCATGGTATCCACAGAGCCTGGTCCTACCTCTCACTTACCCTGCAGGAATCTGCCACTGATGTTTAAAAATAATCCTGTAGTTTCTATGGCTGTGACACACAGCAGAGGCTTATTCACAAGAAATCCTGGGAGCCCAGAGGCTGCCATGGACACAACGGGCCCCAGTGCCAGCCCCCACCAAACAGCACTGAGGCCTTGAGTCCAACAGATGACAATTCTGCAGATCCAATTTGCAGACAAATGCAAAAAAAGGGGGGGAGGATCCGCTCTCAGGACTGCTCTGATCCCACACGTGAAAAAAAACACAAATTTTCTAAAATTACGCCTCATTGGAGCAAAGCTAAGCAACAATGTGCACTTTTTTTCCATAACACTGGTAGAGAAATGTAAAAACCAGTTCTAAAACTTGTCTATACTTCAGTTTTGAAGTGTCACTCTAGAGGGTGGGAGTTGGGCAGGGGAGGGGGGGGACCTGCCAAACAGTATCTCAAAACTGGAGTGGAAACAAGCATTGTCTTCAAGTGGCCCTAGGCTTGTTTTTCTTTCTAAAACCAAGGATAGGAGACAGTAAGCAGCCACAAAAACACGAATCACCCTCCATAATGTACTGCACTAGTGATTCGGGCCAGGTGGCAGGCGGCCGTGGTCACAGGGGGAGGAAAGCTGCATGCGTGTCTCCAGGCCAGCAGCCTGCAGGCGCGGCCAAGACTCAGCCAGGACTGAACCGTTCCCGGGTGACAAGGAAAGCACCGTTCCCTGCAGTTTTGTTTTGGAGACAGTAGAGCCCACCTCATTGGCATATGCATCCTTGCATCAAACACTCCATTTCTCTCACAGTTAAACCAAACTGTTATGACTTCTGGCAAATAGTGATAGTGGGAGTGGAAGACGGCAGCCCTCTACTTTTACTCAGCACACGTCTGCATTGTTTCAAACATCTCAGAAATAGCACATATCACTATACAGTTGGAAAACACAGTATATTACCCCAAACGGGCAGTTTTCACACTTTGAACTCGCCGTGACTGCCTCTTCACCTCCTTCTCCCCGGCTGATGACAACCGACAGCCTTGGTAATGATGGCACTGACTGGTCTGCAATAATGCTTGGGGGCAAATAACACTCTGGGGTAGATGGGTCTTAACTTGGTCAGCTCCTCAGTGAGCAGAGTCTGTGCAGAGAGTTCAGAGGTGGAACGCACGGGATCGCCTCATGCTGTGCCACAAGGGGCACGGGGCCCTGCCAAGCCCAAAGGACCTATTGCCTCTGTCACAAAAGGGAGAGCTCCGAGGTCTGTTTTTATTTTTTTAATCCTCACCTGAAGATATGTTTTTATTGACTTAGAGAGAGAGGAAGGGTGGGATGAGAGAGAGAGAGAGAGAGAAACATCGATGTGACAGAGAAAAGTCAATCGGATCCCTTCCATGCGTGCCTTGACCAGGGATTGAACCTGTAACCTAAGTATGTACCCTGACTGGGATTTGAACCCACAACCTTTTGGTGTATGGGATAATGTTCCAACCAACTGAGCCACTCAGCCAGGGCTCCACGGTCTGTTTTTAAAGAACAAGATGAGGAGCTCCAGTTGGGCTATGGTGCTATGGCAATAATGTATTCGAGCAGCTTCCACACATCCTTGTTACTAGTCGGCCAACTGCCCTTTGTGAGTCACAGGCCCTGAGGTTACACTGCAGGGTCATGTGGCCTTTTCCAGGAGGTGTGACCTGAAGTTGTCATCGCAGTCACCACATCTATCTCCTGGGTATCCTCTCCACAGCCACTGTTCCATGCAGCTGCTTCAGCCATTCTTCTAAAGTGGCCACATGCTCAAGTCAGCTGCCATTGAATACCCTTCACCAGCTCTCTCCTGTATCCAGCATGGGGTACTAAGCAGACGACAAAAAACAGGGCAATAGACAAGCAAGGGGACAACTGTCAGAACTGCCAGGAAGGGAAGAAATAAGGTGACAGGAAGTAGCTGGGGGACTTTACACAGAACGTGGTCAGGGAAGGCCTTTCTCAGGTTGCCTGGATGTACAGACCTGGAGGGTGAAAAGCTGGTGGACACCTGCAAAGCACTCCAGGGGGGAGTATGTCCGCCATGGGCAAGGCACAGAAAGGCTCTCCTCTCTCCTGACCTCTGGGCTAGTTTAGTTAACTACCCACTGATATTTCAACTCTCAGATGTAATGGGCATCTCAATCTTAATATATCCAAACCCACTCCTAATAACCCTTCCCCACCAAATTGCAAAACCCTGTTCCTCACATATTATTCCCCATCTCAGTGAAAGGCAACTGCATTTTTCCACTGCTTGGGCCAAAATCATAGACGTCATCCCAGACTCCTCTTTTTCTCTCAAAACTTATTGCCTTTACTCTCAGTACACTATGGGCACCCTACCACTTCCATTGCTGTCAGCCTGGTCTCAGCCATCTTGTAACTAGATTATTGCCAGAGCCCTTATTTGGTCTTTCTGCTTCCTCCTGCCTGCTGTACAATCCAGCCCCCAGACAGCAGACGGAGGGATGTGTGGCTCTGACCACATCCCCTCTCACTCAAGGTTAAGCCAAGACCTTACAATGACCTTTAAGGGCCTACAGGGTAAGCTGCCAACTACCTCTCTAGCTTCATCTCTTGCTACTCTCCCTCTCATCACACTGCTCTGGTAACATTGCTCTTCAAACAGACCTAGCATACTCCCACCTCAGGGCCTTTGTATTTGCTGTTCCCCTAAATTGTCCCATGACTCACTTCTTCAGTTCCTTCAGGTCTCTGCTCAAATATCAGAGACAGAGGCAGTGCTGTCTTTGAGCAGATGGGTGAGGAGTGTGTTCTAAACAAGGATGATCTGGAGCTTGTCCAAGAGAAAATGAATTGAAGGATTAAAGAAAAAGCCCAAACATAGCCATATACATGACATAGTGGTTCACCAGTAGTGGTCACTCTTGTGTGGATGAGTGGCTGCGATGTGTACTGGTAATGTTCTGGGGGTTTTCTGTATGGCTCTGGTAGGTACGGTATCCTCAGCTTGTGGAAAGTCATCAAGTTGTATATTCATAATATATGCACTCTTCTGAATGTATATTTAAAGGCCAATAAAATATAAACCCAACACACACAGCCCTTCTTCAACATTTGAGAGCAAAAAATAGTATCCTGATGAAACCCAACAACTAATTTTCATTTTCTTGCCCTATGCAAATAGACTTACCACCCCATGGTAGCACTGGTCAGGGTCACATCAAACAGCAGTATGGATAAACCAGCTGTGATCACCTGCAGAAACAATTCCAACAAAAGGTCATCAGAGTGGTAGGACTTCGGTAACCGCCTATAGGGCCATTTTTCACAAGCTCAGCTCGTGTTAGCTCAGATCCCCAGCATTAACATTTCTTTCCACTTCACATCCTTTTCTCCACACTTCCTAGTCCGCTGTATTTACTGTTGCCTCTGAGCCAAGTGTGTGGTGTGGAAAATGTTAAATCCTAGTCTATTTTGGAGGTGGGAATCTTCAAAGAAGTATTTCATTTCCAAACCCTTCAAAAGAGGAGGCACAGGGCCAATATCTCACTCATCTCCCTCCAGGGCAGGGCACAGTAAGAACACTTATTTCCATCTTCTCTCAGGCTGTGCGGAATTAATTCCTAAGGTCAGTGGTGCTCATTAACCTGTTCCCAGCTCCTCCAGATAAAACTATCTGTCAACCTGCCTTTGCCTACAGCACCGTCCTTCCCCTGTCCTAATGCCTCGGTCTTTTTGGCCTATGTCACACATTCTGAGAAACCAGGTGCTTCCCGGGGAAGAGAGCAATTAAATCATTAATTACGTGTGAATATCTAGAAGATAGGGGGTGGGGCGGTGGGGAGAGGTTACTCCCACATCTTTCTGAGCTAGAAATTACAGAAAAGTGTCTTAGGAGTATCAGTAGCAGGACTCCTGCACTACTTCTCAATTGTTGGCACAGAGAATGTATGTAAACCAAAGATCCAATTTTGCCAACACTTAGAACGTCTGCTCAGGAGATTTTTTTTTTTTTTACCCAGACTTCTGCATTCTGGAATGCCAAACAGCTCCCACTGGGAAGGTCACCCTGAGGACTGACTAGCTTTTGTGCAAAAAGAAGTAAGAAGCAGGTTGCACTGGGATGGGTCACTCAGGCTGGGTGCCCTCAGAAATGTCAACCACCGCCTCACTCAAGGGGACTTCACGTGCCGTCATAGGGATCTCTTAGGTCTCCACGCAAAAGGATGGACAGAAGGAAGGAGAACGTTTATAGAATCTTGTTGTCATTCACTTACCACCTCAAAAAGAAGTCTCAAAATATAAAGCAGGAACTCGGGGTAGGTAAACTTTGTGTGATTTGTTGCCTTTGTAGTTTACCCATTTGGGGTCACTTTCTGTTTGCTTCCCTTCACTGATTTGCAGCCAAAAACTTTGACAACAAAAAAGACCTGTGTTGTCTTCAGGAACAAAAAAGAAGTGGCAATAAGGTCAGAGAATCAATTGCAAAGCAAAGCCCAAAGGACGAAAAAAGAAATTTTTCAAAATGCTGGGTGGTGGGCTTCATCTCAGAAAGTATGATGAATGGCAGCTGTCCCTCCACCCCACCTTCTTTTTGGTTTATTTAGGACTTCTGCACCTATGGTATACATAAAGTGGGCTGAAAGTTTTATTGTCTTGCAATGCAATTGTCTGGTTTGGGAAACAAGGTTAACTAACCACATGAGTTATTTCATCAGCTTCCCTTATTTCCCAGTAAAGGGGTAAAGATGATCTTTACTACGGAAACTTCTAGTTGGAGGCCATTGTTGAGAGGCACTGTCCTAATCAAGTCTTCTCTTTATTTTTATTCCAGTTTGCCATTTTCAGTTTTTTCAAATATGAATTTCATTTAGGTTTTCCAACTTATTACATTTAGCTGTTTGGAAAAATCTTATTTTTATCTCACTTGTACCATTTTTATCACCTTCCCTTTTATTCTTAATTGTCATTTTACCTTTCTTTTCCCCCACTTTCCTTAATCTTAACCAAAGTTAGTCTTGTGAACCCCACTCTACTTTGGAAACTTCTTGGACATTTCCTGGGATGGTGCTAGTAGAGATGTACTTCTCAGACTTGCTGAAGAAGGAAGGCTCCATTCTACTGAAGGGTGTTAGTGATGTTGGAAGCCTGGGGTAACGGCATACTTCACTCAGTTTCTGAAAGTGTTCCTAATTCTTCACCGTTGTTTTATCTCCTTTACTACTTTTTTTTAAAATTTACCTTTACTCCTTTTTACCAGCTCTTTTTTCTCTTTCCCCTTTGACTTCGTTGAGGAATACTTGACAAACATAATTGTGTATCTTTAAATATATGTGATTAGGACAATGTGATGATTTGCTACACATATATATTCAAGACCTTTTTGATCCGTTTCTCTCATTATTCTATGATTGGCTCTTTCATGACTTTCAGTCCAGTTTGTGAAGCTCACGCCCCTCAACACCCTGAACAGTCACAGCCTAGGACTTGTGCCTCTGTTCCTCTGTGAGTTTCTTTAGCATAGGAAAAACCTCATCTGCTGTGAGACAGACAGCTGGCCTGCTTGTACCTATTGACTGCACCTTTTGCCAAGAAAAACACATCTTAAAATTTTCAGACCAGCCCTTACTTGAAAATAAGCTTGGTTTAGTAGTCACACTGGTGCCTTTGCCATCTGTTGCTTCCTGGAAATGTTTGTATAGTCTCCTGACTTTCTCCCGGGCCACCGTTTCAAACTTCTCTAAATTTTTCTCTCTCAATGAGCAAATGTTCTGCTGTCTGATTCACTGAAACTTCACAAATAGGCTTGTCTTATTTCCATAGAGAATGTATAGTGAATTTGCACTGTCCAGCTCCTGTGGAGTTAGATGGACCATCTAGTAATCTACTTCAGCAAGAACTCATGGTTTCTTAGGCTTCTCTACTGTATTTCCATTACCAGCCTGAGCAGTCGGCTTTTTGGAGTCTCTCTCTCTCACACACACACACGCGCACACACACACACAAAGCTGCCCAAGTTCTACCACATAAGAGTGAGCAGCAGCCAACAACATCTCGCTGAGGGGCAGCTGGTCGGCCAACTTACCCACTTAGTGACTTGTACTCACACCCACTCACTGTATGAGAGGTTCAAATTCATGCCTCAGAAAAGTGACAGATTTCTATGAGCCATGGCTGGCTGTCAGGGTTGCTCAAGAGAACTCCAAGGTGAGAATAATAAGCCTGCACATGCCAAGAGCCCACTCCACTTCTAATTCCACTGAGGAGCAAACAAAAGCCAGGGGAGGCTGAGTGTGAAAGTCTGGGTACACAATGTCTCACACACAGTCACCTAAGGGTGGAGCCTGAGAGGCGGAAGGGACTCCCTAAGCTCAGAGGTGGGGAAACTGCAACCCAGAGATGGTATGTGATTTGCTCCAGCGGCCTGGCTCCTTCATACAGTGAGCAGCAGGACCAACGCCCCGACTCCCAGGTCAGCCTTCTCTCGCAGCCAGAAACTCACGGGTCTGCTGAGCTGCATGCAGATTTTTGGTGGGGAAAAGAATTCACTGTAAACAGGGACTCAAATGGATATTTGTAAACCCATGTTCATAGCAGCAATACACTAGCCAAAATGTGGAGTAACCCAAGAATCCATCAAAGGATGAATGGACAAGCAAAATGTGAAGAATATGCACAATAGAATATTATTCAGCCTTAAAAAGGAAGGAAATTCTGCAATATGCTACAACATAAATGAACTTTGAGGATATTATGCTGAGTGAGTTAAGCCAGACACAGGACAAATACTAATGATTCCACCCACATGAGATCCCAAGAGCAGTCAAACTCAGAGACAGTAGAATCGAGGTTGCCAGGGTTGGGAGGAAGGGGGAGTTAGTTGCAATGGGTGCAGAGTTTCAGGTGGGGATGATGGATGTTCATTTCTGGAGATGGATGTCAGTAAAAGCATGAACTTTCTTTTTAAACCTTTTAAAATCTGTTCATGAAAAAACTCCGCCAAGTTACTCTTAGAACTTGACATTCAAGAGACACAAAAGTAGCAGCCATTACTACAAATTGTTCTTGTTTACATAAAGCATTTTTTTTAAATACAAACTTTTCTCCAAAGAAGAAAGAGCTTTGCGGTTTGAGGAATGTCTCCTTTGCACACGCAGATCTGAATAACAAACAACAGGACCTGCCACGGGTGAGGGTGCCAGCAACGCAGAACAAAATACATTGTGTCTGCAGTGGGGCTTTGAACCTCCTGGCTTTGTCAACGGATGTCACAACCTCTGTGTTATTTAAACAGAGTTTGGTATTTAAAGCAGGTCGGGTTTGTTTTTTAAACATTCATTTCAATCCTAAAACAAATTTTCTGTTTGTTTAAAAGAAAATACAGGGGAGTGGATGTTAATGGGAACCTGCCAGATAGTTGTGTCTTTGGGGGAGAATCGGAGATTCTGGCCTGTTATTTGGTGCTAAGCTTTTTGTTTGTTGTTTTAAATACGTATGAATTTCTTTAAAAAGTGACTGCAGCATGCATAGCAGGCCCTTCGCTGTAACTGCCTCAGTCAGAGGCAGTGCCTTCCCTGCCTAGACTGGCTGAAATGTTTCAAACACAGTCTCATACCATCGTCTTGCTTTTGCTCAGCAAGTTCTCTCTGCCTGGAATAATTTCACAGACCTCCCCAGGTAATTCCTACTCACCTCTTGAAAATCCTTTTCTAGAAAACTTTTCCTGAACCTGGCCTACCCACACATCGAGGGGATCAGGCACTTCTGGGGCCTCCCATAACTACCTGCCGTTGCACATGCCAACTACTGACCTATGTGCCCCCTGCCCCCCGCCCCACTCAGGGCGCGCCCTATCCGTCTCTGTGTGCTCGGGGCCTAGCAACAGGCACTTGTACATGGTACGTGCCTGATGGTTGCAAAACCCCAAAGGTCACAGTATCGTTTATTTTAAAATTCCTTTCCATGTATTAGGGATGCTTGGAGCCTAGATCTGAGAACTATGGGGACACTCTCTTTGCCCCTAATCTCTGCTTTTTTGACCATCACCTCCATGGGGCTAGAAAGAGCTCCACAGAGAAGATGGAGATTAGCTTTCTGGTTCCTAGTCCAAAAATGCCGGGGAAGATTCTGATTGGCTCCTGGATCAGCTGATCATGGCCTGGGAGGCAGAGTCATATAAGAACATGGAAACTCACCCTTCAACTTCATAGTTGGAATGGAGAAGGGAACATTTCCCTGGAGCAAGGCAGGGAAAG